TTACTTAAGACACCTGCTTGGCTACAAATTGGAAAAAAAATGACGTAAGGAAAGTTCGTCTATTGGTAAGGGAAGAATTGCTGGGTGAAATTTTAAGAGTTGGAAACTTAAGAATTAGACATTTAGTGAAGACTGCAGTTCCGTTCATATTTACCAGTTGGACTGGACTTCCAGGTAAAGGTAGTGGGCTGTAGAGGGACAGAAAGCAACTCTGTGTTCAAGGAAGTTTTCTAGACTACCTTTCTGAGAGAGCAACAGGTTTCATGTTAAATTAACAAATATATTTAGAATTCTGACATGGATTGTGTAAGAATTAAATGGCATACAGGTGTTTTCCATTTTTATCTCTGTCTTCAATATTCTTCCTATAGGTATAGGAACATAGATGTTGGTGCACAGAGTTGGAAACAGATAAAGACATACTAATTAAAATAATCTATTGATGTATTGTCCTGGAGGATGTGGTCATTTCATGAGGATAATTTTCTGTATTGTCTGTTCTCCCTTGGGGTGCCAGAGCCTATGCCTCTTAGAGATAATGCAGCCTTTCTTCATCTGCCTTTAGTGCCATTAAAGCTACAAGCCTTTTGCTGTAAAAAGTATATTAATGAATAGAAATGTTACAACAAGAACAGAAGTCTTGTGTTTTCCCTCCATCATGCATCATCCATTTTAATTAGGGGAAAGGGTAGTGAGCACAGTGACAAGAGTGTGGAATTAAAATCATTAATTGATGTCAAGCTGAAGAGAGGCTGCTAACATGAATTTAGTGACAGCAGGAAGGAAATTAACCTTATTACTTTATTTAGAGCATTCGTTTATTTAATATTTTTGTATATGCAAATCCAAAGTGCTTTATTTATGACAATGGCAAAGGACGAATAATTCATTAAAATGTGAATATCAGTTATTTCAGAGCAATGAATCGTACAAGTCACTCACTGTTTTTATAACATCCATTAGAAGTTGAGACACACACACAACCTTAAGGTGTTTAGATTTGGTATTTTCAAGACAAAAAACCCTACATTTTCTAAATGAGTGGGTGAAAATACCCAGTGAGTGTGCTGAGAAAACCACCCGTCACAAAGTGTTTTTCAAATGGCTTTTTCATTGACGTTGGAAAGGATGATGATGGAATAAGCAACAGAACGTCTACCAGCTTTCTACATAAAGATGATAGGGCAAATCAGTTGTTCCTTTTAGAAGTGCATATTTGGTCAACTATGAGAGCTAAGTTCTAATGTGAAGCACACTAGCCTGTTTTTGAAAGGGCAATAGCACCATCCTTTCAGATAATTTGCGACCTCAGAGGTCACAATAAAAAGAATAGAGGGGTTGTTGTCTTCAAGCAAACCCATCTGGAGCTATTAAAATATCAGATGGAGTAAAGGCTTTTTTTTCCGCAGCAGGATGGTCTCCTGGTGTTTTTCCAGAATTCCCAAGGTGGTCGTAATATTTTTAATGAGAAATCTACATTTTGTTTCTCTAGAGCAAAACATGTTCATAGTTCACATAGACAAAACAAAGATATTTGCAAGTTGGAACTCTTGTGGATTGTAAATACACATGGATATTTTACCCTTTGCTATTTTTAATTTTATTCATGAAAATTAAATTTATTGATTTTGTTGGCGTGTTCTTTTGAATCCTGTTCAACACACAGTTTTTTGTACTTTGACTGTGGTTGACACAGATATTTGTGAATGGACTTATCCATTCATTATCTTCAGAGGCACATTTGATGGGGGACACAGGAGAGGGTCTGCTCTCAGGTTGTGGAATGCTCTTCTTAAGAAGAAATAAACATAAGATTAGGTTTTATCGTTTTTTATCGTTTCAGTAACAGCTAAAGACCTGCCACTTTAGGCAGGTTTTTAATAACTAAACTGGGCAAAGAGGCTGGGCATATATTCTTTTTAAGTGTATTTTTAAAGTTTTAAATGCTTAGATAACATTTTAATTATAACTTTATGTTTAATTGTTGGGGTTTTTTAACTTTTACATTTATTGCATTTTTAGTCTAACTTGTTTTAATCTTCATGAGCTGCCTCACCAGGAGAAAGATGTCATAGAATTAAAGCAACCAAATAAATAAATAAAATATCAAGACAGACAATTGGCTCATCTAGCACAGTACTGCCTGTTCTGATCTGAGTCTCTTCAAGGGCTTCAAGAAGAGGTCTTTCCCAGCCCTGTTACTGGAAGTGCGTTAATTAATAAACACAGGAATTAAATTGAGGTTCTCCAGTATATTTATTTATTTAAAATATTTTTATCATGACTTTCTCCTTAAAAAGGACCCAAGGTGGCTTACACCATTGAAAGACTATATTTAAAGCTGAAACCAATGAGTATACAACAGTGGTTTATGATATTAAAAGACAATAATTAAAAATAAGACTTAAATATGAAGAGGCACCTTACATAATTAGAAGACAATATTGAAGCTAAGAATCAGAAGTATACAAATATTAAAAAGGAACAAAGTATGAAGAGGCACCTTACATAAAAAAAGACATTAAAGCTAAGAACCATAAGTATACAAATATTAAAAAGGAACAAAGCGCTAAGAGAAGGAAAACATGAGTGGTACTGAAAACCCAGTCAAAGCAATAATACATAACAGTCCATCTAAAAATCACACTCAGGTAGCCAATCAATGTGGGAAGGCTTGCATGAAGAGAAAGGACTTTGTCTGCTCTCAGAAGGACAACAAAGATGGAGTCAGTCTGGCCACCTGTGGAAGGGAGTATACAAAAGATGTACTGTACCACTGAGCTATAACTGTTCCCTGAAGACAACCTGCCCCACGTAATCATAATTTCCTCACAAGTTGTAGCTCCAAGAGCGTGCTGGAGATGTTTTAGGCTATATTTTTGCTTCTTGTGAGGTGTCGGGGAAACCCAAGAAGTCTGGCCACTGCCCCAGATGGATTAAACATGTACCACAAAATGCAGTATCTATGTAACACCTCGTGGCATAAATAAATGTGGAAACTTTCCCTGAGAGTAAAAAGTTTAGAAATCCTAATACCGTGAGAAGGCTTGGGCAGAATGCACCAGTGATGTTTCCCTCAGTAGGTCTAATCTTAATTTAAATTGTGTGTCTGACTTAAAGGTGAATGTCCAGAGTTCAGGAAATAAACAATCAACTAAAATGTTCCAGGCTGAAGGCTCCTTGGCTAAACTTATATAACAGCATACATACGAATGTGGAGAAGAATCGGTATATCTGCTGAGCAAAGCATTTTCCTATTTATCCCTTACTGAGAACAGCTGTATTCTTACATTGGGGACACAATTGATTAGGATTCAAGAAGCCACAACTATAATAAACTGTGCATTATATGCTCGTTATGCATTGTAATTGGGGATAGTTGCACTCCTTCCACTTGAGACTATCTAGGAAAGCTGCTATGGACAGCCAGTCAAGCTCTGCTCTCCTTGGCATAACATATGCCAGCCCAAGCTGTGGGAAGAGACAAAATTAAGAGCTATAGTACCCGAGAAAGCTACCGAACCCTGGTTTGTCAGTCTCATTTTGTGAATATTTTGCCATGTCCCATACCTGCCCAAAGGGCCCTATTGGGACCTTTCCCATATTATCTCCATTTCTGTTCTTGTTACATGTCACCATTGAACTTTATGCCAGTATTATTACCAGAAGTGCAGTACAAAAAAATTAGCCATCTGAATTCTGTCACTTGATACTTGGTGGTTACATCCTAGTTTAGGATTAGGGATAACTCAGGGAATGTGAAAAGCATACTCGACCAAAGGCTCTCCATGGTCCACACACGGATTTCTCTCCAGGCCAATGAAGGAATGTCTAGCTATAACCCCGTGTGCTCTTTTGCTCAGGTTGCTGCCAGATTCATAAATAGACAACTGGTAAAGAACCAAGCCATTCTTCCGAGACCCAGACAAAAATTCTGGAAAAGCTGGGGTGATCAGAGTCTAAAACCTCAAAATGCCAGGCCCACCCACCCATATATCTTTTCCCTTGTCTTAAAGTATTATTGTTTTTAATATGTAATTATTGAAATGAACTGTCCTTATCGTTGAATTTGATCGTACCAAGAAGCCCCTCGAATCCTCTAAATCACCCTAAAGGTGTTCCGTATTTTACATGTGAAAGCATTTAAACATCCTATTTACTCTAAGTTTCTAGGACAGTCCCAATTATGTGGATAATCAAAGGGTTAATGTCTAGTGAATGCTCAAGATGGCTCTGTGTATTATACTATTATTCAAGCTCTAAGAGGCATTTGGAAACTACAGTGGTGCCTCACTAGACGATGATAATCCGTTCCACTGAAATAGCTGTTTAGCAAAATCATTGTCTAGCGAAAAGCATTTCCCCATTGAAATGCATTGAAACCTGTTTAATGTGTTCCAATGGGGAAGAATCGTTGTTGTCTAGCGAAGATCGCCCATAGGAAAGCCGCTTTGTGAATCGCCGATCAGCTGTTTAAATTGCTGTCTTGCGAAGCTTAGGTCCCGAAAACGCCTGTTTTGCAAGCACAGAGGAAGCTGTCAAAATCGTTGTCTAGCGAAAATCGGTTTGCAAAGCAGGGACCAAACATTGTCCAGCGAAATTCCCCCATAGGAATCACTGTTTTGCAAATCGCTATATAGGGTAACTGTCTAGCGAGGCACCACTGTACTTGTTCAGTAGTTTAGGTCTCAGGTGGCAGAGCCAAAGGTTTTCCTTCCTTTTCCTTCTTTTTGGGGGAGCAGAGAGGCATTGGGGGTGCAGAAACAACTTTTTTGCAGATATGGCCCATGGATGCACTTTCTCACCCCTATAATAAAGGGTAAGGAAGTGCACATCAGGAGCCAAACAAGGTGAAGATCCATGCATCTCAGATATTGCAGTCTTAATATTTGGGGATTTAAAAGTCCTTTAACCCACAACTTTTATTTACTCCTGAAAATAAGAATTTATGTGACATCCTTTTTCTCAAGCCAATTCTTAGCCTTCTTTCTCCTTTCTAGAATTCAAGCCAAGACTCGAGAATTTCGTGAGAGACAAGCTCGGGAACGAGACTACGCTGAGATCCAAGATTTAAATAGGACTTTTGCCTGTGATGGAGAATCGATGTATGCTGGAATCCCTTCCTATCATTCCTCCACAAACAGCGGCACGATGAACAATCGCCCACAGAGCCCAAGGGAAGGGCCAACAGTGGAAGCATTATATGCCCAAGTGAAGAAAGCTCGAAATGCAAAGTCTTCACCTGCAGACAGGTAGGCACCAGACATCAGTCAATATTTTGCTTCCAATGTCTGCTTAGTACTTTTTTTGGTGCAAGAGGGAAAGCTGGTGGAAAAGGTGACAGTTCATCAACTGTAATGCCAGAACTGCATTTTATTAATGGCTTTTTAAAAGCATGTGTAATATATATCACACAAATCATGCCATAATGGAATGAACAGTGCAATCTTTTCAGATGGTTCCAACTCAATTCATCATCTTCTGAAAATGCTTTTGGTCCCAAATTACACTGTTTAGTGTAATTCACATTAACGTCACACATGGAACATCATCTGCTGGTGCAATTATCTGGAGTCTTCATAATAATTTTGCAGTATTTATGGCCAAATCTGCCTTTGTTTTTCCTAAAGCCATACCTGGAGCACCATGGCCATGTAGTTGGTTTTCTCAGTTGGGGAGCAGAATTGTTTGGTTCACGGTTTCTTAACTCCAAGCCAAGAGTTCTCTGTTAGGCTCTTGACTGCTTCATACCAGCACTTGAAACAAAGCAGGAAAAGGAGAAGCATGCTTTGATTTTTAAGGTTTGGTTCTGACAACCTTTTAAACAATGCCTAGTGTTGGAGGCTGTGGTTGAACTGGAATTAGACCTTGAATTAATTTATGTTGTTATTGTTTTAGGTTTTACTGTTTTTCAGATGCTAGCCATCTGTTGTTCTTGTAAGTTTGACCATGGTAGTAATGAAATACTCTGTTCTCCAAGTTTCAATAGTGAAATGACAGTATCAGATAATTTAGTGTTGGGAGAGATCAAAAGGGTCATATAGTCTAGCTTCTGACATTGAAAGGATGTCCACAGATGACGTCATGAGGTTTATGAACCTGGACTTCCTAATCCCCAGTCCAGGGCTCTAATTGCTAGAAAAATATAAAATGATTTTATATGTTTGTGGACTGGAGACTATAGCCAGCTGGAGATTCTGATTAAGCCGCCAGTATTTGTTTTGAGAAGGGCAAGGCCCTTTTCTTACTTATTTCTCAAAACCAGCTATTAGAATATTATGCTAAATATTCCTGTCGAGAAGACCAGCCTGGGAACAGGGGTGTTTTAAGTTCAAGCCTGCTTCTGCTCCAACCCAGCATCGCCTTGCCTTGCCTTCTTTGCCAATTGTTCTCTATGCCCCAAGAAATAATAAATAATGTTTCTTTCTCAGAAGGTTATCTTGCATTATTCAATTTATAGTACAGTCATTTTGGGGCACAGTGTATTAGACCTCTGTGTAATGCCAAGGGGGAAAAAACATATTTGGACTAAGGTTGTTTTGAAAGCTTTCAAGAGAAACCTGTCCAGAATGTAAGTAAGCAGTTGCTGAGAAATCTACGTCAAATCCTTTGCAATCTTTAAATACAGTTATAGTGTTCAAAAAAGCAAGGGTTTATTTTAGGTGCATTTTGTCATTTATGTGTATTAAAACAGAGGCAAGTCCTCTTATCTCTTTTAAGAGATTCCGGTGGGGGGAAGAGACTTGCAGTGTCGAACAGCAAAGTGGAAGGGGTTTTATTGTTAAGAAAACTGGCCAGTCTCTTGGACTTCACAATGCAGCAGTGATCTAGAGCAGTGCTCCCTGACCTTGGGCCTCCAGATGTTCTTGGACTACAACTCCCAGAAGCCTTCACCACCACCTCTGCTGGCCAGAACTTCTGGGAGTTGAAGTCCAAGAACATCTGGAGGCTCAAGGTTGGGGACCACTGATCTAGAGTATTGGGAGAAGGTAGGCAGGCGTCAATGAAATGACATCATTATTCATGCAGAAGCCACTGAAGCTGTGCAAGGGTGTGACATGTAGATACCAAGTCTTGCTCCAATTAGTCTGAATTCCACAAGCATAGTAGTAGGTAAATTATGGCTGTAAGGGCCCTATTTATTTTACTATCAGCAAAATGTCCATCAGCAAAACTTCCAGCAGACAGTGCATTAACGGCATATTTCAGAAATGCAAGGATTTGGGAAGATTCTAGTGACCCTACATCAGTAGTCTTCCAAGGGTTGAGTTACTTTGTGCTGGCCTCCCCAAATGCAGCATTTTTTCCATAGAACTTAATGGTGGATCTACATTATTTGTCAAAAAGTGCTCATTTTCCAAAATGGTAAGGCTGAGGATTTTTGTCTGGTTTAGATTAGTATTGCTTTTGTGTGATGAATGAATGAGAGACCTCTGGGGAAGACAAAGGGATGGCAGGTTCATCAAGAATATAAATGCACAAAACTGGATCTGAGGAAGTCTCTCTTAAGACCCATTCGCATTGATGTGAAAATTTAGTCAAGACAATGTGAATGAAGAGTTTTGTTAGTGGTGAGGCCATTTCCTTGCTGACGACTTCCCTCACACCCTGTTTATAACCCAGTGGCTGAAATCCATTAGGAGAATTCATGCCTCATATGCCTGATCATCCATAGCAGGTTTTTCTTAAAATAATTTTTTTTTTTGATTCTGTTGCTCTGAAGGTCCAAAGGCTTCCCTGGGAAATCTTTTTGTCATGGGAAAGACATTGGTAGCTACGGGATGGGGAAAGAGTTATTTAGCTTCCAAAAATGACTGCCACCAGGATGATTTTATGAGTAATGACAATTTTTTTTTTCAAATTGAAGACTTCCTGCCCATGTCCCCCAATGGCTTCCCCATGATGAAGGAGATCGCAAGGGAGCCTTGGGACCTTCAGAAGAGAATCAGAAAAATTTAATTTCCAAAAAACTGCCACAGCTGATGATACAATCAGCCTTGTACAGTGTAATTTTTGGCAACAGGATTTCAGCCAGTCATTTTAATTCCTGTGAAGTCATTTCCTATCGAACATAGCCACATGTCCATTCAGCACTAGATAAATTAAAAATTAAGTACTTTCTACCCTGTTTCCCCGAAAATAAGACCTAACCTGAAAATAAGCCATTGTATGATTTTTCAGGATGCTCGTAATATAAGCCCTACCCCAAAAATAAGCCCCAGTTAAGTGAAACCCAACTCTCCACCATTGCGTAGAATTGTGCAGCAACCAGAAGAAGATGACATGACTGTATTTGAATAAATATAGATTGTTGTACATGAAAATAAAATCCCCTGAAAATAAGCCCTGGTGTGTTTTTTGGAGCAAAAATTAATATAAGACCCTGCCTTATTTTCGGGGAAACATGGTAGAATGCCATCAGGAGGGACTGTTAAACTCCTTCAGGGTACCTTATATCTATCTTCAGGATGATTGCCATAGCTTGTGGTCAACTTGTCAGCATCATCATTGCTGGTGAAAATGTCTGGAACCAATAATTTGTGACCGTTGGTTAGAAAAGGTTCCGTTAGCTTCAGATTTCATGAATCATTGCTGCTCTATTAGTTGTGTGTAACATTTTGGAATTGTCATGATATGTCTGGGGATGCTACACTTCCTTTTTCTCAGGCGGTTACCTCGTCCTTTCAGGCATTACAGGGAGAAAAAAGTTTTTTAAAAAACAACAACAAACAGTCAAACCCAAGATGGAGTTTATAATTGGTTTATTTTCCTCTGCCATACCAAATGGCAGCTGGGGAATTGCATTCCTGTTGCAAAGGCTTTTAGCCAAGCTAAGAAGTCTGTAGCTGGAATGTTTTACATCATATGGAAGAAAACACAAACGGTTGATCAATACAGGCCGTTTTGTTGTTTTTCATTTTAGGCAGCAGTACAGCTATGCAACTCTCTCTCTATGTGTGTATATGTGTTTCAGTGTGTGAGAGAGGAGTGAATGAATGAATGAATGAATATATGAAATAGAGCTACGGTCTACCATCGAGGTAGACCAAGAAAACACAGCTGCTAATGGGCATTTACTGGCTATTGCTCTGCCATCACTTCCCACCTAAGAGGACGCTGTCCATAGATATAATTGGAATGAAATGGGCACTGTGCTGCTGTAAACCTAAATAGCTTGAAAATAGTAGGCTAGAATCCCACAACTTACTCTGGACACTTTAATGGAACCATAAATGCTGTAATCATGTGCTTTTTTGCATTCATTTTGCTGCTGGAAAAAAAGAAACACAGGAAAGAAGAGACCTCTGTGAATTGACTCCTATTCCTAAGTGGAATCAGGTTATACTCAAGGAATGTTAGGCTGAAGAGTTTTTAGCTGAAATTGATGAAATGGAGAGAAAACTCATCTCTTTCATTGTGTGTTTTTACTGAAAAAGAAAAAAAAATCACAATAGTGACAGGCTTTCATAGGACTACAATTGTTTGTTTTAATTAGCACTTAACTTTTGTTTATCTAGCAATATTTACCTCAGTTTTACTTCTGATGGGCAGCAGAATGTGTCCCTACAATATTTAGAAACATACTATAGAAACATAAAAACCTGCTCTCTGAAATCACTATAGAAAGCACATTTTCTTGGGTATCCGTAGGCATACATTACTACTACTGTAAAATATTAGGTATTTATCATTTCTTTAAAATGGAAAATCAAGATACTTGAATATTATATTGAATGTTTTTTGTAATAATACAGCAGGTCGAGGCGAAGAGGCAGTCCCGAAAGCAGCAAAATCAGGGAGCTGGACAGGGGACAGATTGTATTTGTCTTCAGTGTGGAAGGGATTGTCACTCTTGAATTGGCCTTCTCAGCCACACTAGACGCTGTTCCAAGTCCTCCATACAGAGCTCGTTACCATAGTCTCTCGAGACTGAAGGATGCCTACACACATTTGTAATATCTGTCATGTCAATGATCTTTAAAGTCTGAGGTACTACTTTTTACATATACAGTGGTGCCCCGCATAGCGACGTTAATCCGTTCCAGGAAAAACGTCGCTATCCGGAAACATCGCTAAACGGAACGGAATACCCCATAGGAACGCATTAAACTTAATGCGTTCCTGTGGGGGGTAAACTCACCGCTAAGCGGGAATCCTCCATAGGGCCACCATTTTCGCTGCCTCGGTAAGCGAGGAATCGGTGCGAAAACGCTGCGGGTGGCCATTTTCTGCACCCGGCGGCCATTTTGGA